AACAACAGCATCTTCGTTGCCAAGAGCAAGGCTCCTTACGAAGATGATCAGCAGAACAAGATCTTCCTGAACCCCGACTACCGTGTGTCTGTCGACAAGAAGACCTCTGAGCTCAAGTACTCCGCCACTGCCCCCGAAGCCAAGGAGTCCGAAAGCACTCGTCAGACCCTCGAGTCCCTTGCCAAGGCTAATGCCACGGAGAACTCAAAGATCGGTGTGGACGTCGAGCACATCGATTCCGTCAACATTGAAAATGAGACCTTCGTCGAGCGCAATTTCACTCAGGCTGAACAGGACTACTGCCGCAAGGCTGCCTCCCCGCAGTCCTCGTTTGCAGGCCGATGGAGTGCCAAGGAAGCTGTCTTCAAGTCATTGGGTGTCAGCAGCAAGGGTGCTGGTGCTGCTCTGAAGGATATTGAGATCGGAGTTGATGCCAACGGCGCTCCGGTGGTTAACGTAAGTGCATGATTACCCCCATGATTCCAGTGACAACGCTAACATATCTTCAGCTTCATGGTGCCGCCGCCGCCGCCGCCAAGCAAGCGGGTGTCAAGCAGATCAGCGTTAGCATCAGCCACAGTGACTCGCAAGCTGTTGCTGTTGCGGTCTCGCAGTTTTAGAGCGCCGTGCATTTTATTTTTCTGTTCGCATATAGATCCTAGAGACTAATTGTTCTCTTGGGTTGAGACGTAATGATTGTGATTTATGTTTTTAGATTCCGAGCCAGTTTCGTCTCCTGGTTCGTTGTGTTTATAATGGGAGTGATGACATTTATTAGTCTTTTTCTTTTGAATTATCATTTAGAATATGTTCTCTTTACTAGTGGTATTATCTTTAAAAAAAAAACCTCTTGACACAGAGCTCCATCCAGTGTGCATTGTAGAAGGAGGGAGACCTGGTCCCCTAGTTCACATAACCCGCATGTCTTCCACAGACCCTTTCCCTGCGTAGTTCTATCGGTATGGTATCTTATTGTAACCCCTCGACAGCTTTATCAAGGCCACACTCGAGCTTGTGAATCATATCTTTCCGCCTCCAGGTCAAAAGTCATATTCAGGGCCCACTGTGCAACCATGATGTCCCCCCTGTACTCGCAAGGAGTACGCGTGCCGTTAACCGCATCTTGAGTTGGAACAGTAAGGTAGTAGGTTAATACGAGGGAAGAAAGTGAAAGAGGGTAAAAGGGAAGTAGTCTGGCCACTGCAAGGGGAAACTACCAAGGTTCTATTTATACCAACCTTAAAAACACGTTAAAGGCTTAGCACCCATGCGGGAACCACGGGTCCTCCCATCCTCTACCAATGAACACCCTGGTTGGCCTCAGGCTTCCATCCACATTTGATACCTCTACATGGAGTTGGCCAGGTAGCAATGGCATTCACTTTGTTCACTGAGGGTCTTAACCTAGGATCCATTCATGTCCTAGGATTTTTGTCTTCGATTCGAAGGAATGAGCTTTTGGGTTTAGCGTCAACCCAGCCTAGGTCAAGGCTCTTGCCCACGTGAAACCTTACATCGCTCAAGTGACGGTTCGTGGAGGGATTCCTAACCTGCCACTTGGTTGCAAATGCGTCCAGTGGAGAACTAGGAGTGGTATTTTCCTAGATGGAATCCCACCATATGGGACCAAGTCCAGTAAGCCCACGTTCACCGATGAAACCTAATGCTTATATATATATATATGTCTTTCAGCTTGACCAAAGCAAAGACCAGGCATTACACTACCTAGAAGGAGTGTCTCATAGTCATCCGTTCTTTTAAGGAAGTCAAGTCAGATGGCCGATAAAGGGGAGCCAATAACCGAGTATGCTAGCTACAGATCATATCACCCTGAGATCTCCTAGTTGTCCCCAGGCTAAGAGACTATCTGCTGTATTCCACTTCAGTCATCTTGCAGAGATATCAAATTTGGATAGTCACCCGAAGCTAGTAAGAATGTTCATTGGCACATATGTAAAAGATGGCTGCTCATGATAAGGATATTAGGTAGGCGCTCTTTATGAACAACTATGAACAACCAGAATAGACCACCTGCAGAAGATATTCATAGTTAAAGTATTCCTAATCACAAGGTGTCTGCTGGACAGCGATCGGCCGATAGGAAATAAAAGTGAAAACATGTAAAGTATTCGACAAATGATTTTGACTTGGAACTACCTTGGGCACCTTAGTTCCCCTTCCAGGGACCTGGTCGCAGCATCCGATCCTCTTTTCCGTAAACACTGACGTCCTTGACAATGGCAATGAATCTCCGGTGGTTCTCCTTGGATTCACCAATACGAGGACGGAAAACTTTCAAGAGGTCGCTGCTGAGGATGCCTGATGCTGGGATGGCTGCATGAATTTCCCCAGCCGTGGGGAACGTCTGAGTTCCAGAAATTGGAGTCGACACACGATTGGCTGCAAATTGTTAGTTTTATGTCTTGTACGGAAAATATATTTTGACTGGAACTCACCTCTGGGGCCGTCGGGACTGTTGGCACGGCTTCCGGAGAGTCGAGGCAAAGGACTTGCGGCACGGGACCCTTGTGGAGTGCCACCACGGGAAACCGAAGTAGGGGGGTTGAGTTTCAGTTTCTTGATCTTGCCGCCCTCGGTCATTTCAGCTCCAGATCCGACACCAGTGTCGACATCGCTGCCAGATCCAGCGCCACCAGCAATGTTTCGCACGCGTTTCTTGCCCTAGAAAATCAGTATGTATTGACCAAGGGAGAATGCTCGTACATACCTGCAAAGCGGATGGAGAGATCGGACGCGATGGGGGTTGAGACGCAGGGAGATGCATGCTTTTGGCCTTCTTTCGAGATGTATCGGTGCCGCTCGCATCGGAAGCGTTTGGTGATCCAAGCCTTTTACGAGATCCAGCAGCGGAAGCTTTCTTCAGGGGGTCTGTATGCTTGGGTCGACCGGAGGGAGTATTTGCTCCCTTGGAGAGCGCTTCTTTTTGGTTCTTTTCTTCTTCTGCCTTCTTCCGTTCCTCCTCCTTGGCCCGTTCGGTTTCGCTGTCGTCGGAGCTCTGTCCACGTTAGTTTTGGGTTTGCTGTCAAAAATAGGTAAAAATTTACCTCCTCATCCGTGTATGGATTGACATCTGAACCGCTGCTGTAATCAAAGTTCCGTTCTCTCTTCTTCAAAGCCTTGCGCACACCCTTGCCCAACACACGCCGGGCCTCTCGTTCACGTTTCTCTCGCATTTCTTCAGCATCATACTCCTTCTCGTCCTTGAGATCAAAAACATTCGCCTTGAGCTGGTCCTCTTTGATTCTCTTTTCGGCATCTTTTGCATCTTCATCCTCATTGAAGAGGTCATCATGCTCTTCGTCATCGGCAAATCGATCTTCTTCGAAATCCATTTCACCAGCCTCCAATCCCGCGCCCTTTCCGATATTTGTGCCCTGTTTTCCGGCGTAGACTTTGCGCTGCTTGGCGTATGTTGCCAATTCTTTTTCTTGCTCCAACTGCTGCTGCTTTTCCATGAACCATCGAGGGTCTTTCACTCTCTTGGCCATGAATTTCTCTGCTTCATCAATGGTCAAAGCCTTGAAGTTACTCTTAGCGTTGAACTTGTACCATTTTTCGGCTGGTATCATTCTCATCTTTCCATTGTCGAGGACAAAGACTGCATGTGTCTCTGACAGAGCTGCTTCGTAGTTTCCAACCCAGGTGTGCTGGTTGTCGAAATCCTCCAGGTGCCATGGCAATGCTTCTTCGTACTTGATACGTGCCCTCGCAATCTCTTCAGGGGTCATGTCCGACTTGAAAACCTGCTGCGTCTTCTGCTTTGGGGCATTTGGTCGTTTCGAGGTTGAGCCAAGGGCGGGAGCGATTTGAGAAAGGTTCTCAGCGCGCTCTTTTTCGCGTGCTGCCTTGCGAGCATCAAAGGCTTCGCGTTCAGCTTCATCCATTGGCTGGCCATCGATCTCGGACCTTCCCGAATTTGGATCATGAGTTCGTGAACGTGGGTCGCGGCGGTGAAGTCGGACTGGTCGAGTAAACTGTGATTCGTCACGTGGGTCGACGCTCTTCTTCGATGCAAATCGTGCGATGTGGTGCTTCAATCCCTCCATCAAAGCCCTCTTTGTCGTCACAACCGGATAATCAATGTATTTATCACTGAGCAAAGGGCCGCTGAACCCATTCGCTGCCATTTGGTTGTTTGAAAGCTCAAGCATGGGTCGCTCGGACGGAAAGATCGTCTGGGGGTGGGACGGCCGTGAGGGAAGAGTCTTGGTGGCTGTTCCATTGCCGCCGGGAGTGGCGCCAGCTGGTTTGGGGACAGGCCTTCTCTTCGGTCGAACCAAAGGATCCGCCGCTTTGGGACGACGCATCCTCATCAGCGGGGCACCGTTTGGCCCAGTTGGAGTGCGAGCGTTCGAGGGATTCGTTGGGGTCGACATGTTGCTGACGTGCAAAACAGAGTTGTACGAGTGGTAGAAGACGACGTGACGGGTCGCGCCAGGGGTAGAAATACGGAACAGATGGAAGCCTTTGCCTCTCTTGCGGTGCGACAAGGGGGGGGGCAGGGTTAAAAAAAAAGAGTGAGAGATGGGTAAGCCACTCTGAAAGAGCTGGAGGCAGCGAACCGGAGGTATGACGGTAGACATCGGAGCAAGTGTTTACCCGTCCCGCTGATATAAACACGTGACCCGGACAGATCTCCGGGTCGTGTGGTCCGTGCACCTAGAGGCTCTTAAGATCACATCTACAGTACGTGAGCTCTAACTGCTGACTTCGTAGGTCATAAAGAAAATTGAGGAAAATATAATCAAAAAGAAAACAAGAGTTCGTAAATCACCACATCTTACTTGATCCAAACTGTACTGTCTCTAAGATCCTCTCGAGCCAACTGCATATTCAGATCATCGAAGCCTTCAGTCCTCGAAGACAGAGGGCGCGACTATTCTTGCTTCTCTATCTGACTAGATGCTAGATGTAGTTTACCTACTAATATATTATGTATTATTTGAATTGAATTTCTATTTTTTCAATTGATACAGAATCTACTGACCGAATCGTTGACCCGGTTCCAGTGGTTTGTATGGACAAGCAATCCAATCACAACCCTTGACCCGGTTAGCAGACATCAAACAGCCAGACGATCAATAACTTACTTGTTTATAAATCTCCGTCCCCCACCATTTGAAACCATCAACCCAGCCAGGGTAAATGAAGGCGAAGAAGACAACGACCACTGCAAATGCCAACCCAGAATCCAATGCGGCTGACAAGGTCATTGCATATTTCTCCCACCATGCGGTCCTTCTTCGGCGGATCACATAATTAAACACAAAACATACAAGAGCCCAGATGGAAAAGTTGAGCCCGGTTGCAGGTGGTATCCAGCTCAGACTACCAAACAAGATGGGGAAGTTGACCATACGCCAGAAGCTCTTCTTGCTGTGTCTCCCCAACAGCCATGCTCCGAGAGGGGCGACGGCTCCCACTAAAAAGGCCCAAACAAGCGGACGATATAGCCCTCCTGGGCCAAAAAAGCGCTGGGGGCCAACGACTCCCCAGAGAATACTGCCGTTGAAATGGACTCGAGCAATGGGGCAATTGAAACCATTGATGGCCTGCGGGGTGCAAAGTCCCGGGACAAAAGTGAACATCCAGTTCAGCACACCAATTTGGGTCAGACTCGAGACCAAAGTCGCCATCATCTGGACGCCAAACAGAATCCGTGGTGGGATCTTCATGTAATGGCCAAGTTTGAGATCCGATGAGAATTTGATCCCTTGTGCAGAGCTGATATATGAGTAGGTCACAAAAATCATGTTTGCAACAGGCCTTCCCGGGAATACAATACCACAAAGGAGTTGGCAGATCAGATAGAGGCTGCTGTGTTGATTGGTGACAGCCATGATGATGCCCACTGGGATGAAAAACACAGAAGTAATACCAAGAGCCAAGAGTAGCCCATACCAAGGTAGGTGTGTTGGATAACTATTGTGCTAGGGTCAGCTGTTATCAAAGGTTAAAGAGAGGGGAAAACGTACTATTCCACCGTGAAGATGGCGATGGCGAGCATAGAAATGAACACTATAAGATACCACGCGAGGGGAGCGTCCTTATAGCGTCTCATTAAGCGACAATGAACATCCTCCCCTGCCAATGGAATTTCCTGGCTCGGTTCATGCGAGCTGGTCCTTGGGATTTCATAACTCTGTTGAACCGTCTCATTGCTTCCACGAAGGGGCTGGTACGTCTCCATGCCTGGGACTTCTCGTCTGTCCTCAAAAGCCTTCCTAGTCTGATGCCAGATGTCCTTCCCATACCAGCAAATGGTGTGGGTGACAAGGGATGTCAAAGCAGCAAACTGAACACCGTAAGACAGAACATAGGTGATTGGGAGATATACTGGGGAGTAATCTTGATAGGCCTTTTCGTCGAACAAAAAGTCTGCGGTCAAGATTCGGCTCACATTGTATGGTCGCCCACCATTGTCGAATACTGCTGTTGAAACGATGGGCATATATGCAGAAAAAAGCACATTTTTATAGTCTTCGTTTGATCAGCAGAGTCAAATGAGATAATACGGGGAGATCTTACAAAGTATCGGGGCGGCTATCCAGATGACAACCACCAGTCCCGTCACAATATTGGCTGCGGCCCACCAAGGCGTGAGTAATGGGGATCCAATATAGGCAATCTGAGCCCAATCAAAGGTCAGGGGGAACATCCCGAGACCAGAGGCAACACCAAACTATGAAAGTTAGTCAAAGAAGCGAACAAGGACCTGGATGTCTTACCAAGTTCGAAATCACCACATTTTTGGGTGCCAACCAAGTAATCACATTAAAATAACTTAGAGCAGGCATCAACAGCCCTGGAACAAAATACCAGAGAAATGCGCCTCCCCACACAATGACGAAGAATTTATATCGGGAGATACTCCACCCATTTGCCTCTTTGTTGACAGACTTATGCATTGTCGAGAACATTGCAGTGGACATCAGGGTTCCCGGCCAGATCATAGCCGATGGCCTCACGAGGAATCGTCGAGTTAGACCTGCGAATGCATATCCCAAAACCTGAGTGGATATGATAAGTAGCAACTGATATATAATTGGAACATCCTGGTTGTAAAATTTATGTTGCTCGACAATAACCTGTCTTGGTCAGCTTCGTCACAAATATCTCGTTGGTGTACTAACATCGGTCGCGAAAGCAAATCCAAAGGAAACATTGCTGCTAATGTAGACGCAAGCATGCTCCTTCTCGTTCCAACGGCCTTGGGCAAACCAAAGTCTGACTCGGGATGCCAATGGAACAGGAGGGGCATCGATCTCACCGGAGAGTAATTCTCGGTGGTGAAGGGATCCGTTCTCGAAAACTTCGAGAGGATCACCTATTTGTTTGAAAACCACATCCCAAAACTTCCCTAGTGGGTGGACTAGAACAAGAGCAATGATCGGGGTGATGGCAACACTAGGATAGCGCAAAGAAAAGAAAAGATTGGCTGCGGACCCCGTTAAAGAGAATAGCAAAGAAAGAATCCACATCCGAGGTGCTAGAAACCATTAGATATACGCAGGGAAAAGCATCAGGAAGAAAGCTTACTGTTAATAGAAAGAGAGATATCATCCGTCGCCGGAACCGAAGCTCGTACTTGGGCATACGGCGAATTATCTGGGGGATCATCGGCCGAGGATTTCGAATCATCATCATCAATGTCGAGGACATTTTCATCATCACTTGTCATATATGGCGAAGACGCTGGTGTCTCCTGCATCACCGGGTTGCCTGGTACGGCCAACCCAGTAGCAAACGAGTATTTCGAATCAGGACCCATTCCCACATCGGACGCAGCGGATGAATGCCGACGACTTCTCTCTACGTACAAGCTGTTTCGTCGCCTGACAGAGGAATGTGATCGTCTCGGGGTAGACCCTGGTATGTTGGAAGAACTTCCAATGCCATCTTCGAAGCTCGCGTTTTGTAAACCTCCACGAACGCTCTGACCACGCAGGACTGAGATATCCTCTTCTGAATCATCTGAGCTTCCCAATGATCCGTAAGAGGAAGCACCCGGGATGGGCGACGAGGGAAGAAGAGGGGCGCGCGACATGAAGGCCCGAAAGCGCTGAACAATCCCACTGTCGGGGTTCACGTCGGGTGGTAGATTGTCGATCTCGGGGTAGTTTCCATTGTCGCTCGCACAATCATGAAAATTGGAATCAGTTCGATCCGATTCAGCGGGAAGCCACTTGCACCTCGGGGCCGAGGGGCAAGACAGCTTCCGCGTCCGCAGTGGAATATTTGCCGACGTGATGGTGGGGGGGATGATGAAATACTGGAAGTATTTCAGGTTAGGTCGTGCATTAGCTCGAGATCGATCTGGGAATTGAGGAATCAGAAGAGAGAAAATCACGGAGCTAGTGGAGGACTAAGGTCGTAGTGTAGTGAAAAACGACCCGTCGTTCCCCCCAGAGCTGGGCTGCCCCACCGACATCGGCAGATTTATCTTCCCTTTCCAACGGGAGGTTACATACAAGATACAAGATACATTCATATAGTGTTGTATAATGTTCATTCCCATATGTACAATTGATTTGGTATCTAATCGCTTAAAACAGTTCTACAACTTTTTCATCCTCATTTTGAGGCGCCTCGATTTGGGGCTTTTCGGGTTCATCTTCACCTTCACCTTCCTCATCTCGCATCAGGACCTGCACTAACCGATCACATGCCTCTGTGACATTCTCGTCTTCAACATGCATATGAGTCTCGCGGATCAAAGGGTAGACCTTGACAGCTCGCATCTTATCCCGGCCCTCCCGAGTTGTGGTCAGGAGAAGCAAAGTTTCGAGATGGGTCGTGATAATGCTGGTGTCGCTGTCTCTTTCCTTATCGGGCGGCAAAAGCTGAAGATCTGGCAGCATATCCGCCGTATCTTCTTCTGACAGCTCCTCTGGACCTGCAAGCGGGAGCAACAGGTAAGGCAGAAGGTTGGCGCCGTCCTCGTCAAAGAGCATTGGATGCGACTCGACCTCAAAAGCCACGTTCTTGATTGTGGACGCAACGCCCTTCCTCCGAATATCGCTTCGGTGCTCAGTGAAGACCGTCAGCTTGGTGATAGGGACCACCCCATCGTACTCCTGGCGTTGGGTGAAATAGGCTCTGCCCTTCTCTGTCTGGGACAGGTCGGCAAACAGGTACGACAGGTAATCATAATTGGCGTGCTTGTTGAGATCGCCCTCGGCACCCTTCACGAAGCAGTCCATCAACTGATCGATCGCGTTCTCGGAGGTAGATACGGATTCAGGGATTCTGCGCTTGAGGGAGAACAGATTGTGTAGTTTTTCGGATTTGACGAGATTGGCCAAAAGCATGGCCACTTCATCAGCATTGGGTTCCTTGGGATTCTGAAATCGAATAAATTAGCCCCATTGCTGTCCACAGGTATGATATCCGAGACAACTCACTGTCAATTTCCAAAGCAAGGTCTCGACAAACTTGTCATCCTCGGCGAGAAGTTTCAGCACCTCTTCGTCGCCAGACAGGTTGACCAGGATGGTCAATGCATTCTTTGCAATTGGCTGTACAAAGATATCAGTCGAAGGTCACGACCCATGATCGCGGATAACGTACGGTGTAATCGAGGACCAGAAGCTCCAAATCGCGGACGGGTAGGAGTTGATGGCGCTTGAACAAGTCAGGCTGGGCCGTGGAGAAACCGACGAGGTTTTCGCAAGCTATGAGTAGTTAGATCATATATTCGCGCCGCGAGAGGAGTTGCCGTACCGATTTGTCTGATTTGGGTGTTGCCATGGTGCAGGAATTCCACCAGCTATAGGAAGATGTGAGTAAGCTAATCGATATCGTAGGCCGCAGACACGCACCTCTTCAAGTTCGGTCGGCATATTGGAGTATAATCTATAAGCCAAAAAGAAGGGCTCCTGAGTGTGTGTCGTCTCCAAAATTGTAGAATCTCAAAGATTTTTTTTTCCCGCGGAAGTGGGGGTTCTCGACGTCACTGGAAGCGTGGAGATACTCCAGCCCTGGATCTTTGCTATTTGTAATACAACACATATACACTACAAAGGTACTAGAAACAATCTAAGAGGATAGAGGTGGCTATTCAATACTAGGTAATACATATAATCCATCTATATTTCTACAATATACATGTCGACGTTACTATATTCCTTCGAAAGAGGTTGGAATTGCCCCGCCTCTAGCGTTCCCGGAGATCGTCTCCTCCGTTTTTGGCCTTTGAACCACAGCTATATTTAGGTAGAACTTAAGTCTACCATCTCAATATCTCAATTGTATCATGGAGAACCCAAACCTCAACGAGATACATGACTTCCTAGTCTCATTGGCCTTCAAGGCCGGGGATATCATCAACAATGCACTACCAGAGACCAGCGGCACAGGGTCTAAGATGAATAGTCCGTATCCATACAAACAGCCAAGAAAAGAAAATAGCTGATCTCCGTAGGTGCCGACCTCGTCACGGAATATGACCGTGCCGTCGAAAACATGATCTCGACCTCCCTGAGGGAGAAATACCCACATTACGAGTATGTGTTTTGCTCTTTCGTGGCTGCTAGCATGCTTCTAATGCCTGTTCTCTCAGGTTCCACGGCGAGGAAACATATGACCCAGCACGTCCATTGACCGATGCCCCTACCTTCGTTGTGGACCCCATCGATGGAACGACGAACTTCGTGCATGGCTTCCCATTTGCCTGTGTTTCGCTCGGGTTCGCTGTTGGACGCATACCCACGGTGGGCGTGGTTTATAACCCTTCCACCAAGACCCTTCATTCCGCTATTCGGGGCCAAGGCGCTTTCCTCAATCGTGAAACTCGCTTGCCGCTTAAAGGTGACAATGTCGAGCCCCTCTCGGGACTAGCTAATGCTCTCATTGCCATTGAATGGGGTGCGGATCGCAGCGGGAACAATTGGGAGACTAAGGTTCGGACATATGAGAAACTGGGCCAAGCTAAGGAAAATGGTGGAGCTATGGTGCGCGCGATGCGGAGTTTGGGCTCTGCCGCGTTGAATTTATGTGCTGTGGCGGATGGCTCGCTGGATCTGTATTGGGAGGGTGGATGCTGGTCCTGGGATGTCTGCGCGGGATGGGTTATCCTTTCTGAAGCCGGGGGCATTATGGCGGACGGCAACCCCGGAGTTTGGGATGCTCGTCTTGACGGACGGAAGTATCTTGCTGTCCGGGGTTCTCCAGGCGGAACTGGACAAAAGGAGATGGTAGAGGAGTTTTGGAGCCATGTTCAAGGTGAATTGAAGTATTGATTTTGGGACTAGCTGAAAGCGATACAAAGTAGAAGAAGCTTCAATCAAAACATAAACATTTACATTCACATTCACATAATTACAGGATATATGTCTAAGAAAACCGTATGTACAATGAAAGCCAGGATGGCGCTATTATATGTGACGGAAACCAGCGTTAGTTTCCACTTCGAAACCAGACTCGCTGTCATCCTCGACAACTTCACGATCAGTCCATCGTGCTGAATCCTGCCTCGATACAAGATGTCTGTCACTGCTGCTCGTGTGCGATTCATGTTCGGCCGGTAATGTGTCCTTGGGGCCAGAAGAAAGATCTTCCGATATATGGAGATCGGATACTTTTGGCAAATCATCTGTATCTTTTACTGAATTTGAATCGACAGAATCGGTCTGCCCTTCAACCTCATCACCCGAACTAGTCGGACCAACATCTGGAGACTTGGCCATCTCCACATTTTGCTTCAGAGAATCGTCAGTTTCCGCAGTGGACGTGTGGCCGAAATGCGTATCAACCAAGTGTTTCACAACAGGCCAACCATAGGCATTGGTGAACATGCGCCGCACAATAATGTTATTGTGGGCATCGGGCTCAAGTCGAACAAGTACTTTACGCCAAGTCAGATCACGGTGATAGGCTCTCGCGATTTTTTCTTCGACTTTGAGGCCACTTTCGTTTTCCGTGATGCTAGCAGGTGAGTGCTGGGGGGACGCCGACTTCGATTGCTTGCCCTGCAGTGAACCAAATGCTATTGTGCGTCGTTTCGTCGGCAAAGGGGGTGGTATATCCCCTGGGTGGTAGATGCGGTCGTGGAAGATTGTCCGGGGTCGCGAGGCAGGATCCAAGATGAAATCCGCAGGTGGCAAAGGCGGCATCAGCAAGTCTCCCGCAGACTCGAAAAACGTTGTCTTTGGAGGCGTGTGCACACCTTCTTGCTCGTGCGAAGAATGTCCATGAGTAATGGGCATTATGCCATCGCCACCACCATCGCCGGTCTCAAACGTGCTCAGGGTCTGGCTACGCTTGTAAATCCTAGCATTCTTGCTATTAGGGGGGTTCTTGCCCTGATTTAGGCGAAACAGCGAGAAAAAGCTGTCCAGGGGACTGTGAGGCGCACTTCCCGAGGAATTTTCCTTCACCACACCCTCCTCTGGAATTTTCTGGCTGGAGACATGACTGGATGGTGCTAGGAATTGTGTCCGCCTCGGGGAGGTTGTATCTTCGTCCAAAATGTCGTCTTTGGGTCTTGCGGAAACCGGGGTCGCGGAATATGCAGTTTGATGACTGGTCTCCAATGCCGGGAGACTCAAAGGCAGTTCTCCATCGGGGCGAGCAAGTCGCGGGGATTTCGAGTTAGCGCCTGTCAACTCTGCCCACCCCCATTCGGCCATAGTTCCAACAAGTCCGTTGTCCCTCCTCGCCTTTTCAACCCGGTCCAGACCTTTCCAGTCTAGGAACAAAAGCGAAGACGTCCGCAAAGGAACTATCCCATCATTCACCACATTCGAGTACACTGTACGATGTTGGAATTTCTTAAGAACCTCGTGGGCAGGACCACAAGGAAGAATCCGTAGAAGAGGTTTGGCGCCAGGATCTGAATGGCCGGCGTCTTTTGGAGACTCTCCTCTTCCAGCAATAATGGCCCCCCAGCCACTTCGAACTTTTGGCGCCGTCCAACTCAATCCGAGATCCTGGCCGGTACGACCAACTAGACCTAAATCCAGTGCAAATCGAACATACATTGGATTCTCATTGCTGAGACCAAGAAAAGGGGTTGCAAGAGCAATAAAGTTAACAGGCTTGATTTGCTCAAAGAACTGAGGCGAGTGCTTTTGGATATATGCGATTGCATATGTTTGAACAAGTCCACCGAGAGAATGACCAACAAAACTGATGCTCGTGATCTGGTAGGCATGGTCTTCATTTTGAAATTCTTGGGCATTCTCTTGGGGGGTTGATTCGGCTGAGTGAGCAAATGGTTGAGCTCGCTCCTTGCGATTACTAAAAGGTCGAGAAAATGGGTTCGACTTTGGGCCCTTCAAAGGGAAATATGGTTGATCGGGATATGTAAGAAGCAGGACATATTTGGCCAGCCGTTTGCCGAGGTATTGAATCCCACGCTCAGTCCGAATAGCATTGCCAGAGAATCCTCTGACAATGACTTGCTCTTCGTCGTCATCCTCGGGGTTATCACTAGGCTGGCTATTTTGCTCCTCCTCAACATGACTGGATTTACTGCCAATGAAATAAAGTATTAGAATTTTTGGATTCCCAAGCAATCAAAAAGGGATTTCATACCTTGTCGGGGTTTCTTGGTCATTCATTCCAACAGGGCTGACATGGGGAGCTTTAGCTCGACTGTCTTTCTTTTTAGACTTTCTCATGGCTGCGTCAATGCTCTCCTTCAAATAGAGCATGTCTGCCCCGAGGTTGCTGTGCAACCCGTGTGTCAGTAACACGAGATGCACCTTCTTCTTGGCGCTTTTAATCGGAGCTTCAGTACAGTCCTCCGGCGCTGAGTTTTCACACGAAGGCTGCGAGTCCTGGTTCTTCTGGTCAACGGATTTGGAGTCCGGCTTGGCCGAAGGGAATGGCGGATTGCTCCATAGACTAGTCGTATCGTCGACATGAAGAGCGATTGCCTTTGAGTACACGCCTTTCGAGGCAAGCACTTGACTACCTCTAGTTTCAGGCAGCCAATGGTCTCGTAACTTTGCCGGAGGCCCAGAAGAGCCAATTCCGCCACTCCATGCACCGCCCGAAAAATATGCCAGCGATTTTTCATCTCGGCCCACCAGCAGTTCAAAATGGACCGCTGCACTGCTTGAGAATATCACCTGCGATTGTATCTCAACAATCCAGCTAACGCTTTGTCCACTTGCAGGTCCGCCTTGACCCGGAGAGCCAAAATCGTGAGCCTCCAGGAGATTAGCCGGCACTTTAATGACGGCGTCCCAGCCACCTCCGGCCTTGAGGTAGGGCTCAAACTGTGGTGTACCCTCTAGGTCCTGTCGCTCATATTTGGTGTTGGGGTCAAACTGCGAGGGATAGCAAGCCGCGTATAGCGTGTACGGGCCATGGAGGTATGCGGCGCGCAATGGGATCGCAGATGTGTTCTTCACCCTCACGTAGAGATTTGATGGAATAGGAAGGATCGGATCGTCGGCCGGAGTGTATGTAATCGTATATCTGTTGGACGGTAGACTATCAGCGATCCAGAAGGACTTCAGACTTTGAGGGGGAGATCTGGGCCAGACTCACCGAACGACTTCCCCAACGCGAACACTGCCAACTTGATGGATTAACAACATGTTGGTCGCTTCCTTTGTATCCGCCGGAATTGTTTGCCAGCCAGAGAAGGTATGAAATTGCGACCTTTTATGGCAGGGGTGTGCTGCACCTTGGTCTGGGGTCTGGGAGGCCGAATAGGTGCGCGCAGTGATCAGCATCGAATCTAATGGGCAGTTCCATTATAATCAAGCAAATTCCAAGGCGCTAGATAGGAGAGACTAGCGAGACAACAATAATATCATTTGCTGGGGCACCCCAGATGCTGGGATGGGTGGAGTGTGGTGGTTTACGGGGTCCAATCCCGGATATGGCGGGAAACACATGATTATATTTCCTCTATGGATCAACAACTCTATGAACTGGCCCTTGTTTATAAATCATAGACAATGTATTCTTTAATTCTAATCTAATAAATATTTCTATCGCAACTTAATGAACTTCTACTTAATTGATCAAGCTTAGCAAACGGCTAGGTTCTTTTCGAATTTCCACCCAACCATCTTTTTCGACAGCGACGATCTTTCCATCAATACAGACGCGTCGCCACCTCTCCTCATCTTCTTGAAAATCGATTCGAACTTGTTCAGTGTCGGCATAGGTGACCGTATCTTCCGTCACATGTCGACCGCCCTGATAGGCTAGAGTCATCAACTGCATCGCGTCTTCCGCCGACATGGGACCGAATCGGATGAACCTCATCTGTCCATCCAGAGGAACTGAGTCTGGAGAAATCAAGAACTCCTTTTCAAGTCGTGGAACGAGTGTAGCAAGCGCATACATGTGCTCAAGCCCTTCCACTGCTTCTTGGGCTCGTGCCTCGTTCGGGCCATTCGAGGTGGTTAATGTGATTTTGCCTTGGAATTGGTGAGGCGGAGTGCCGTCTGAGGGATAAAGTAGCTCGTTTGCGGCCATCTTGAAACGATCGACTCCGAATTTTCGATACTCGTATGTATCGCTGTCTGCAACTAATGCAGCATGGAGCCCCCAGCTCGCGACAACGGCCCCGTATAATGTGTGGTTCACATCGCTGTCGATATCGGCTCGCTGTCGACCTTCGTCGATAACCAACCGACTGCCAGGTGAGAACTTGGCAGCAAAGACCGGGATGGAAGATGGGCTGCCTCGAAGTAGGGTTGAAAGACCCGGCACCGGACCAGATCGTAATCCAATGGAACTTGCCATGGCATTCCCTGTCCCACAAGGAATCAACACGATGTTGGGAGATACACCAATCGTCTTCTTGGATTTGTAGAATATGTCGAGGATGTCGATGAGTCCTCCGTCGCCAGAAAGAAGGATGATGGTCTGAGGAACGCCATTATGAGCTCGCTCCAGGAAATTCGATCGTGTGAGCTCGATAATAGTTTGCGCCGATTCTGTTTCGTGGAGCTCATAATTATCTAGCCCGATATGTGTGAAAAGGGGCCGTACAACATCTTCAAAGACAGTCTTGGCTTTCCCCGTTCCTGATCCAGTAGATACCACAACCTGGACGATAGGTGGCTCATCTTCACGTCGAAGATGGCTAGGAATTTTGATCACAAGCGGAGATAGTTCTGCGGGCAAAGAGTCGATATCGATCTTTTTTAAGGAAAAGTCCTCAGATTTGGGGCCATCCAGTTCAGTTTTCTGGAAGAACAACACTCTATACGTGGGTGGATTGGACAACACGCAGAGAATATCGTTGAAGTCAATAGAACACTCAACGCCTGCATGAGATGTGTATTTCAGGGTGCTGTCAACTATATCGGCCGCTAAAGGGTGAGACATCTTTGATATCGCTGCCCAGGTGAGTATGTAGCGTAGTGAGAGAAAAATCCACAGTTGACAGGGCGGGGTTTACGGCTTACCCGGACTTTTCAACCATGTCGTACTACTTGGGTAAAAAGACGACAGGCTTTCTAGTAGAAATCCCACGCTTTGATTACTATTGCTTGACTGTCGCTTTAACAAAAATTGAAATATTATTTTATCAATTCTTTTGTCAACATATAATACAAAGAAAACACACCATAGATCAGGAATTCCAGTTGGGCATAGAGAGGAGCTAAGATGGTTAAAATCTCATATTGGCAGTACTGACTCTGTTCATATAGGTCCTAGTATACAACTCATGAATGCTTGTAGTACACTCGACAGTTCAACGCCGCATGGAAGATCATCGACAATCAATCACATGTGGTCACCTTAGGATGACGCCTAATATAGCCGCTTCGAATCACGAGCTTGCCTATGACATACCTAGGTAATCATCAGCGGGGAACCTTGTAAATATCCCAGCAGAGGTTGTAAGTGAATACCTATTTCATCTTATGTCGTTCCCTTAGGCTTGTTTAATCGCCTCCACTTCAACCTCAATTCTCATCGCTGAGAATGCTAGTTGGGGCACAGCGACAGCGGTCCAAATAGGTCGATGGACCGGAATACGCTCCTTGAGCTTCTTGACGGTGAGATCATATGAGGAGTCGATATCGACGTGATAACTGCGGATTAAATAAACGTCTTACCAACCGCGAAAACCCGCAGCTTGCAGAACCCTGTCCACATTTTAGAATGCTAGATCCACTTGACCGGGAATATTGTCGGCATCTAGAGCATCGGTTTGGTCCCAGCCTCCTTGCCCGGAACATGTGACAATATTACCCAAGACAACTGCTTGGGAATAATGGCATAGATCGCTGTGTTTCTTACCAGCGCCCTTTTCGTTGATATAAGAAAGAGAAGACATTGTAATTGAGAAGCGGAAGAGTTTTTGTAGAAGACTAATAGTTAGGTTAATTAATTGAGCTTACCTTAATGGAAATACATACTCTTAGATATCATGGCGGAGCATCACCGGTGGAGGTGTTTGGAGGTGGTTCTCCACAGTCTCCACGTAATATATTGGCTGCGACTATGATGACCTCAACTTCCAGAAAAATTCAATCATTACCTCCATTTTAATATGAGGATACACACTGATTTTTAACCACCTCCACAGATCTTCTCAAATACTAGCACCGCCACTTTTACGGGCCTTATTGGAGATTCGAGATGGATGAAATCTCAACGGCTGAACCCGAAGTTTCTCCAACGGACAGAAGAAAACCGCGAACATGCCGGTATTGCAAGCGTCACTTCCGGCGATACGAACACTTAGAAAGGCATCTTCGAATCCGTGAGTATAGCTCCCTATAAGATAGATTGCCCGTAGTTACACTAATAATGTTTAGATACCAATGAAAAACCATACAAATGCGCCTGCGGTTCTTCCTTTAGCCGGCGTGATCTCCTGAAGCGCCATGAAAACACCTCCCACGCCCCAATCAACCCTTCAACGCAGCAACCATCACCCGAACTTGGCAATGGCAGTGAAAATAATCAACCACAAAGCAGCCATATTCATTTAGATCCAGGGATCTCCCCTTGGCAGCATGTAGACCTTGGGAATATATCAAATGGGTCGATCAGTCAACACGAGGCACTTACTGAGTATCAACTGGAAGGTATGCTATAGTTTTAACCCCTAGGCTGTGTTCCATGAAAAAAAAAAGAAAAAAAAAAAAGAATGAATCAGAACGAACCTCGGTCCTCCACCTCTTCTCATCTAATGCACATGCTAAATCAATGTAGGAAACTCTCTATCCAGTACCCAAGATCTATTGGTACTTCAAAGCTTGGAAATGTTCAGTAACAACATGGGACTGAACAACGAGTGGCACTTACCGTCTGAGCCAAGCATCACACAAATATTCGCCCGAGACTTCAACATGAATGCTCTACCAACTCCATCAACCGCATATCCATCTCATGAACAGGCCTCGGGCCCAGATCAAACACTAAGCAAGCTTCCAACTGAGAGAGAAGCTGTCGGTAAGATGATCCCAAGTATATGCTCTACTGGGAGGTATAGTCTAACCATTAGATCCAGCGGAATTCGGAGTTCTAACATTGCCAATCTTGACGGTCACAAATCTGCATCGAGAAAATCTTCTGCAAGCGCTGGCAAAATCGCAAACCATTGTAACAGATATGCCTTTGCCTTCCTGCCATTCGCTCTCAAGATTTGTCAATGGTTTTTTTGATGGATTTTATCCCCATCTGGCGATCGTTCACATTCCAACATTCAACATTGATGAGTGCGAGCCAGAGATTCTCTTGGCCATGTGTGCACTTGGCGCCGATTTTCGACACGAGAATCGAAAAGCAGTGCTGCTATTTCGAGCTGCCAAGGATATGCTCCAACAGACGATACGTGAACGAGAAATGGCAGAAACCGAGAGAAAGTCATATGGTCAAACTAGCGGGAATACGACTCATTCCAGCCACGAAACCCATGGCTCTAACTTCGAAGCTCTGCAACAGAGGGCAGTTATGCGTGAGGCACGTTGTACCTTCTTTCTCATTGCCTTTGCATCCTGGCAGAAGGAGGAGAACATAGCTCGAGAAGCTTTTAATCTTCAGAGCTCCCTGTCGAGATGCATCAGAGAATCTCGGCTGGAAGAAGTCGAACAATCTCTACATGTCAATAATATTGATTGGCGCTTTTGGGTTCAACAGGAGTTAGATAGAAGGCTTAAATTGTTCTCCTTTGCTTTCTTGAATCTTCATTCTATAGCATTCGGCACACCGCCAATTATATTGAGTGAAGAGATTAACCTTCGTCTACCATGCAGCTGTTTCGAGTGGATTGCTCCAAATCAAGAAAAATGGAAGTTGATTCGAAGATCGGGCCATCAAGAGCAAATGCTGTTTCAAGAGGCTCTCTGCCACATAATGAAAAGTCGCCGGGGGTCGCATTTCTCAGACTCACAGCCAGTTCCATCTCCCTTGGCAAACTACGTTCTTTTGCATGCCGTCATACAAAAGATCATCCTCGCCTACCATGCCCTCGGACCTTATAATGATGTGGATCAGAGTCTGATAACTGGACAAAAGGAAATTATGCGGTTAGTTCACCATCTTTCGTCTAAAATTACTCTGTCTAATCTGCAACTTTCTTTCTTATGTAAGAAATGCCCTTCATGCATGGACCTCTCTATGGCAACGAGCCCCTGAATCGAGCCTGGACCCCCGGAATCCCAATGGCCCTGTTACTTTTACATCAGCTGCACTATTGGGTGTTGCATATGTGCGACTTGGTCTAGATTTAGGATCATATAAAATACTGCGATATCGAGATCCGGAGCAGATCGCCAACCAGTTACTGCAAATACCACGCTTGCCTCCTGGTCCTCATCTTCTTCCAGCAATCTTGCATGCAACACATGCCCTCAGCATACCGGTCAAGCTCGGGGTGAACTTCGTTGCTCAAAGCCATGCATTTGTGTGGAATGTTCAACACTCACTCTGTGCATTGGAGTTTGCCGTATTCCTCAGCAAGTGGTTATTCTGTATCTCCGACTGCCAAAGTAGAAGGCCTCTTGATGGTATGTAGCTCATTTTGTCTAGATCCTCGTTGAACTCGTCCTGTTCAATGGCAAAATTAACTAATTCATTATATTCAGAGCAGGAGACACGCCTGGTGAGCTGGATCAGCGATATCGTCGAGGAAGGACGAACATCTGGAGATGAAGATTTTTGGTCTAGACCTCCACACCACTCTGACTGTGCTTACCTTGGATTTGCTGTGGTCAAGCTATGGGCTCGCCTTATACGAGGAAACCAACAATGGTCACTAATAAAAGTAATTGGTGATGGGCTTGATATATATGCCGATACTTGTGAGCAGGACTTTATGCATGCGCAGACCAGCCCGGTGCCTACCTAAACATCTATCTAGTCTCTGAGTGGTTATATACGAGCACTTAATTACTAGGCCGAACACTTAGAAAATTACAACGACAATCGGAACATCCAATTGCTATTACAGCGGTATATATATTAAGCCCTAACATCCACACATGTAGCTAATTGCAGCTAGTTATAACATGATCCTTCTCCATACTAGCTATAGGTGTACCAATTTAGGTTGTATTAAACATTAGCCTTTGACGTATGAAGAATTCCCTTCACACCAATTTATCGTGGCTCTTCGAATCTTCCTGGGTTGTCTTTTTGCACCAAGGCTTCCAAGCTCGAGAAGTATCACCCATGGGAACTGAGAATGGTAGAGAGTCTTCACACAGATAATGGAGGACAGAATAGTATCCAAGTAAACTGGAAACGAAAGCGAAAGCACCGGCAGCGGTCATGAGATTGGCACTTGTGTCGATCAACCCGTCGGCCAGGGTAAAACTGGACGCGGCGTCAAAAATGAGACACAGCTCAAGTGTGAGGAACAGAAGAATATAAACAATGTTCCTGTTCGACAAGGTTAACTTTTGTATCAGAGAAGTGTAGACTCGAAGGAACCCACAAAGCGCAGCTGGCCAAGAGAAAGAAGAGGTTGAAGACCGCCCATACTAGAGAAGAAGATGTCAGAGAAAGAGTGAGTTGATTTCAAAGCATAGCACTTACACAAGACAAAGAAACCTAGGGCGTTGTGATATTCCGGAGTATAACCACCATATGCATCAACGATGCCTAATGCGGGAATCATAATTACTCCATAACCGCCATAAAAGAATGCTGTAAGAATGAGATGTCAATATTCAATAGCAAAATAGGTGATCTTTCTCATAACGTACCATAGGCAGAAAGAACTGTATAGGAAAATGTATTCCCTCGGGCCATCTCCCATTGAGCGGAAATAAGCATACCGATTCCAGCGACAAAGCAAAGATCACCCATGAAGATAGTTTGCGTGAAGACCCCACGGAAGTTCATCATGGCTAAAGACACAGATAGCA